TCCGGTATACCGGACCGTACCCAGGGTACGTTCCGGCAGTACCCTGGGGGACATAGACCCTCTCAGCGATAGTGACCCCTTGGCCAGCCCTGAAAAACAACCACCTCTGCATGCCCACCATAGCTCTGTAAGACCAGCCATGTCTCTGCATAGAAAACTGTTACAGTCTAACACAACCTTCTCTCTGTAAGGTCTAGCTGACCCAAAATAAGTCAGATAGATGGAGGGTGTGTGGCAAGAATGGGAATAACGTGCTAGAATTGACATTACGATGCCAGCCAATGCAACAGCTTTTAAATATGGATTCTATTTCCCATCATATGATTACTACTAAAAGGTGCAACTTCCGACTAACTTAACATTATTGCTCACAATAAGAACTCCACCTACCAGACACCTGTGACATTGCTATGGCAACGAGCAACATCACTAATGCCACCCACTGGACGTTTGTCACTTCCCGTTTAAACCAGAACCGGTACACCAAAGCTGTAATTATCACCTAAAATACACGAGAAAAAAAGTAAAAATTGTAAACGTCCTGCAAAACAATAGCAGCATAGCATAACAGCCTGTACCATATAGTCGGAGAAAATACGATAAATTACTTTACATTACATGTTGTAAACTTGTAAGAAAACAAGTTGTAAGACAAAAATTTACATAGAGAAATTCATATCACAATGAAATTGCACAAGAATGTGGTTCAGCTACATAAATTCACTGTTAATTTATGCTTTCACGTAATTACACTACGAGTACAGACAAAACCGCGTCTCTGCAGTCACTTCGATATAACAGCCACCTGCCTATAAAGGCCACTTTACGGTGGAACTACGAGCGCTACAACTTGCCCGTGATTGAATGAGCACGCTCCAGACGGGCGGCGTCGTGTAGTGCAGAGCGAAGAAGTACAGATTGTTCGTGATCGCGTACACCACCGACGGCACGGCAAAGTACGCCGACGGGCTGATCTCCCTCCAGACGCCGTTCGTCGTCGCCATGACGACCATCAGCAGCAGCTTGATGGCCTCGGTCGCGCACACGATGGCGGTCTGCGGCATCGGGTACACTCCGCCGTTGTAATAGCTGATCGAGTAGCTCATCACCTGCTTGCCGACCTCTAACCCGATGAAGGTCACGCAGAAGCAGAAGGCCTTCCACAGCGCGACCTCGGCGCGGTCGAGCGTCGCCGGCGCGCGAGTCTTCTCCGCTGGCTCCGCCGGCGCCCTCTGTGGGCCGGCGTCGTCGCCGTGGGTCATGCTGGCGTGCGAGCTCTCTTTACGAGCGACGACTCTGTGCACCAGACAGCTCACGTTTGCGTCCAGCGGCATCAATCGCGTCTAGTGAAAACGTCGGTCGCCGCGGCAACAGCCGTCCGCCTCGCCCTCCGTCGACGTGCTAGAATCGCGCGTGCGCGCTCCCGCTGTCGCTAATCGAGGGTCGATCACCGTGGCAACAGCCGTCCGCCTCGCCCGTGATTGCCCGAGAATCACGTGTCTGGTGAGATGTGGTCGCTAATCGTGTGCAGCCGACAGCGTGCGGTAACATCTGCACGTGTGCACCCTAGGTGGTAAAATATGCAGTGATGGGAATCGGCGTCAAACTGTATGCATGCACACAGAGCCACAGCAAGAGAGAGAGAGATAGAGAGGGAGAAAGGAGGAGGAGAGAGAGATGGATAGAAAGAGCAAGAGTGAGAGAGAAAGCACAGAAGAAAGAGAGCGAGAGAGAGAGAGAGAGAGAGAGAGAGAGAGAGAGAGAGAGAGAGAGAGAGAGAGAGAGAGAGAGAGAGAGAGAGAGAGAGAGAGAGAGAGAGAGAGAGAGAGAGAGAGAGAGAGAGAGAGAGAGAGAGAGAGAGAGAG